TGCTTCTGCGCATGCACAGATCGCTTCTGGTGACATCAGGGTCAGTGGGCAGAGCCTCCCACTGGTTTTACTACCGGTTCTATAGAACCAGTCTGAACCGGGGGCAACCCACCACTGCTCTGCCCCACCATACATTAAGGAGAGCAACTGATGGTTTTTTTCCCCACTTGCAGGTAAGGCTTGGTTAGAAGGGAAACATAGCCAGGAGAACCGCTCATCATTTCCCTTAATGTGTTCCACACAGTACCATGCGTTGACTTCATTACAAAGTAGTATAGGCTTAACCATTAGGGCATCACAATTATTCCAAGCATCAAGGATGTATAGATGGTACTTAATCAGTTTCCTGGTTTTTATCCTATGAAGGGTCTTCTCCACAGCTCAGTTACAATACAAGAGTTTACGAGACCGCCTTCTGCCATCGACAGCCTCCCACCAGCCAACTCGCTCCCACAGAGAGGGGCTCCTCAGGGTGCCGTCGGCCAAACAATGTCGACTGGCGACACCCAGGGGGAGAGCCTTCTCTGTGGGGGCACCAGCCCTCTGGAATGAGCTGCCCCTAGAGGTATGTATGATCCCCGACCTGCGCACCCTGAAGACCCTTTTATTTCAACAAGCCGGGCTGGCCTAACATGAATATGAATTTTAAATGGGTGTATGATAGTTTTAATTTGTGGGCCAAATGTTTGTATATCTGATTTTAATGGTTTTTTAAATTTTGTAAATTATATGTGTTTTAGTATGGCTGTACACCACCCTGAGTCCTTCGGGAGAAGGGCGGTATAGAAATCTAATAAAAATCAAAGTCAAAGTCAAAGTTACAACTCTTATGTGGAGTACAGCAGAAAATTAAACTGGCACAGATTTTGCCATCCCCGTTGCCAATGATGAAAGGATCTATTCTGGTTTGATGCTGGATGCTGATGTCCTCATTCCTCCTGCAAAGGAAACTGCTGTCCCGTCTCCACAGGCTTCCTTTTCAACATCCCCAGCTGACAGGAAAACCATCTTCCAATCATAGCACTGCTGTCATTGATGAGGTTGTTGATGGATGACTAGATTTTCAGGGCCAGCCTTTTGTTAGAATTGGTTTCCACTTCTACCTGCCCCCTGACTAGAGATCAACTGCTGAAGCTGGGAAATGTGGCAGGGGAAGGAGGAGAGGAGGCTTTTAACTTGCCAAGCTACCTCAGGCCCAAAAACCCGGATCAAGTCAAATTTGCAGCTGATCAATGGTGGCAGCAGAACTGCACAGTGGAATTGAGTATATGACCTCTCTTTCTCTTCCTCCCTCCCTCCCTCCCTCCCTGGTATTTCATGGCATAACCCCTCACCAGCTGTTCTTGAACAGGGATTTAATACTAACTCCACAGACTTTGACAGAACCGGGTACTTCTGCTACCTAAAGCAGAATAGGCCTTGAATGGTAATGCCCAGAGACTAGAGCTAAATATAGCTAATAGGAGCTGGCCGGGTATCACTGCCTTGTATCATTCTCAGAGACTCTTCCCATCCTGCTTACAATCTTTTTGGACTGTTACCTTCTGGCAGAAGATACAGAACAATTAAAACTCAGACCACACATTTTCTGAATAGTTTTTATCCCAGAGCTATAATTGCACTCAACAATGAACTAAAGGGTCACCATCAGTGAGCTGTTGGACAGTATTACTTGGTCTGTTGTATGGATATTTGGGTGGTTTAGGGGTGGAGAATTGTGGTGGGTGGGAGTGTGTTTGGGGATTGTTACGTGTGTTGGACCTGGACTTTGGGTGTTAAGTGAATTTCGTTGTATGGGTATAGTGTGTATACACGCACAATGACAATAAAGTTATTAATTTTTATTTTAACAAAATGACTGATGAGTATCGTCTCCTCAGATTATACTTACAGCAAAACTGACACAGCATGTCAAATGCCTTAGGGGGAAATCACTAATACAGAGTAATCAAGAGTGACAATCAAGTAGGGAAAGACCTTAATTCCCTACACCAAGGATAGGTCACCTTTTAGTGGCTTGCATGGCACATCGAACAGTTTTTAAGAAACTGCGTGTAGATGAAGCAATGCAATTATACATAAATACATGTAGATGGGGTTAGGTTTTTTCCTTGAATTTTAGGTGGGAAGTATTTTTGTTTCACTTTATATTAGAAAATTATTTCAGTCGTATAGGGTTTATCATCTTTTTTGTATCTTTTCCATTTTGAAAACATGGGAAATGCATATCCAAACTATTAATTAAAATTGCTCTGTTTCCCTGAAATAATGTAACCTTCAGTGTCTAATGTTCTCAATTAAGTGTTGGCTACATCTTCTGGAAACTAGAAGTATAGTTAGTCATAACAAAACTGGAGAGCATCAGGTTAGGAAAGACTAAGGCAAAATATAATTTAGGAATTGGGAAAATGAAAGCAAACATCCCAATAAATATGGGAGATGCATTTGCTCTCCTATCCGAATTACCTCTATATACCCATACCTACACCCAATGTCCTTCATTGTCTAAATGTATTTGTTGTAAACAGACTTAGCCATTGAAGTACAAAGAAATACAAAATACATACAAAGAAGCTGGCATAATTTTGCGTTTTAACTTGCATACTGAAAACCTTCAAATATGTATTTCTTTGCTGTGCTACTGCATTGTCCAGTTCATGTTTACCCAAAATCAAGAAAGCCACATGAGAATCGAGAGATACAAATGACAATTGTGTTTTGCAAAACAAAATTTGAACCTGCATTTCTGTGTATTCTAAGGAGACCAATTGTTCTGGCTCATCCATACCTTTTTTGGGGGATAGCTGAATTGCTATCCAGCTTTTTGCCATTTATCATTTCTAGTGCTATAATTTCTGTTTCAAAATATGTGAACAAGCACCCAGTCAGCATTACATTTTTTTTTCAAAAAGGCTTAAGCCTGTAATTACTTTTAACTTGGTACATGCTTTATGAATATGAAATTATGGATATACCTTATGAAGTTAAATGTATACAATCAGCCAACAAAACTCTGAAGTTTAATGCTTGCTATATAATTTCTGCTTTGAATAGGACTGCATATGCAATCTTCTATGTTTCTTCTTCTTTGCCCCACTGGGCAGAAGTGAATCAAGCAACAGTCTGAATGTCTGTCATTACTGAGAAACAAATAAGTAAATACTGTGCATATTTTCCACGGGACAGGGTGAGGGGTGTGGGGGGTGTGGAATGTTGCTTGGGAAAGACTTGAAGAGGATCCAGAATGAAATCTATGATGCTCTGGGGCAGTGTTCCCAAGATAGATCATATGAAGCTATCTTAAGTTGAGCTATTGCTCGCTCTAGCCAAAAGTTCTATATTCTGATTGGTAGTGGCCCTTCTGGATCTTGAAGGAGATTCAATTCAGGAATTGAAACTGAGACTCCCTATACAATGGGGATATAATGAATTAGACCCACACTTATGAGATGATTAATATTTCAGAAATACGGAGGCCAAGTCTCCTTTAGCGTACAGAAGTTGGATTTAAAAAAACCACAGATTCAAGAGGCCCCTCCAGCCAGCACAAAAGCACATCATTCAAGCTTTGGGTCCCCATCTGTTAGGAGTGTCACCTGCCTTGACAATACAGTAAAGTGAGTTACAAACCTAAGAAATAACCAAAGATCCCATTTTAGGGATGTTAAGTTTTATTCCAGAAATTCACTTCTCGGGCTAGAATTTTAAATGAGCTATCTCAAGATAAAATCAGAAATGTCATCCTTCTCAGCACAAAAAAACTTTTTGATTATACTGCTCAAATAACTACAGGAACTCTATACATTTGGACATTAGACATGGGAATTTCGTGCCCAAAATACATATTTATCAGGCATACTTTTCTCCAATCTATTCAGAATTATTTACTTTGAAGTCAGTTGGGTTTTTTTTCCCCAGTGAAATGATAAATATATCTATTTGTCATATTAATATATAGGTGAAACAAACATTGCAATTCTATACATGTCTCCTTTTTCAAAGTACTGCCACCCAAATGAACCTGGGATTACAGCTAAAAGTAATAATGGCTGGAATGCCCAAGAGATAACAACCCATTTCTACATACGCTGGGAGATCTCTTCTTATATAAACACCCCACTTCAGGAAATTAGAAATTCATGGGGTTTTTTAATGGTGGAATACAAAAAAAAAGCCCTTATATTGCCAACAAAGAAAAAAGATAAACCTTGTTTGGACTGAGAAGGAGGGGGGAAGCCTAAGTTTATTACAGTGGCTCTTGTTCAACCCTAGGAAGAAAGCAATACAACTCACTTCCAAAAATGCTGCCGAGAAATCTGCATGCAAACTAGAAATTAAGGTAGCATATCCAAAACTAATGAAGAATGCTGGAATTGAAAACCAATTATTTAATTATAAATGCTATTTTATTAAGCTCTTCTGTAATATTCCAGAAACAATGGGTCATAAACACAAAGAAAGAAAATATTCCTCTGAGAGCTCTAGGGCAAATAGATTTTATCTGATGTTTCAACAGACAGCTCAGTAGGTCTATTTACAAGATCACTCAAGCCCTATATTTATTGCAATAACTGTGAGGTCAAAGAAACTTTACTGACATACAGAAAACTTATTGGCACAATTAAGCTTATTTTCTGGAGACTATAGTTTCTCTGTAATTTTGAGTGAAGTACTGACACAAAATTTTGAGCACTCGTGCTACTGCCAGATTTTTCTTCTCAAGGTTTCAGTTGGAGAGAGGAAAACTTAACAGCTCATATCATAAACTTCTACAGACCGGGAGACCTTTAAATAAATACATTTGTTTATGTCATTCTCAAGCTGAGAAAAAAACCATCTCAAGCTTGGCAAACTGTCTTTTTTCCATAATTATTCTCAAACATATAATGTGCCCCTCTTTAGCACACTGATTTTATGATTATGTATAGTATTCATGTATTATTTACATATATGCTGTAGACATGCACACAGAGATGAAATATATAAATACCAATACATACCTGAGTGCCTTGCAATGAACTGTGCTTGACTTTGTAATCATTGATGAACATTAAGTAAATGTTGAGCAAGGTTTCACTTCCAGCATTTTTGTTGTGGCTGTTTTGTTCTCTTCCCTTAATTTCACCAATGCAACAGCTGTATTCAGGAGCAACTCTTTCAATACACCACAGGACAACCAAGAACCCAAATGCCCGTCTTTATGAAGCAATATCTTGCCAGCTTTGGAGCACAAGATCACACATGTATGCTCAGTGTTTTCTTTCTCGGGGAAAAGCGAGAGCTCTCGGTTTAAGTTCCTCCTCCTTCCTGACATAACAAATTTCAGAAGCTTGTTAGTCACTGCCCGTTCCAGCGCTCACACTAGTAAGCATTTGTTCCAAACTAATGTATTCTCGTCAGCAGAGAGGATTATCTATTAACTGACAACAAAGACCTAATTATCGTAGGATGCATTTGAATCACACTTTCCTACTGTCTCCATTTGCAGTAGGTAGATACCTGCTCCTGATCTAAATAAAACCCTCTCTGTCCCTTGATTTGCAGTGGAGAGAGAAACTGAAAGGGAGCTTAGATTTTAGGTATTATTGTGTGTACACAGATTGTAGTGAAATTCTTCTAGTTTGAGCTCCCCTGGGAGTTTATATCTTGGAAAAGGAATTGGGATTATCTCACTTGAAATGCATCTGACAATGCCAGGAGGGCAAAGCATAGAGCGTATGATTTGTGCTGTCTTCTTCTCCAAACTGATCACTGATTATTAGAAAGTGTGCTTGATCTGCACCTTATTGTATGCCATAAAAACAACTAGCTATTCCCACCCTCCAGAAAACTGTACCTGTTTTAAGAAAAATATTTTTTTCTTTCTTTTTGTAAGGAAGATCAGCCCTTTTATATCACCAGTTTAGCAGAGGTTCTTCTGGACAAATGTATTAAAGCAACTTTATTGGGAAAATTGGCAAGGTTAGTGATATTACTATGGCGTTTGCTATTCTGATAGTTCATGTGGGGGAAAAAAGAGCTTGTCGGAGTCATTTTATTACATCATAGTGTGATAAAGCAAATATATTAGTTGCTTTTATATTCTACCCTTTTGTAATAAATAGCATAGGCATACATGTTGTAAAAAAAAGAGAAGAAAATGCCTTATTATAGTTGCATATAGTTAAATGCCTTAATATAGTATATTAATCTACATAGTTATTATGTAGAGTAAGTAGAGGAAAAAGTAGAGTGATGTGTAATTAAAGGATGGAGCACTAAAACAGTAATATCTAGGTAAGGATTAAGAAGTCATAAATACACCAGAGGTATTTCCTGGACTCAATAATATGGCAGTGCCTGTTATATGACACTTTTGTCCACTGTGCTTCCCTGATACAAATTAAATTGCAATAGCTAAGATCCTTAAAATGGCTAAGATCCAGTTTAAGATCCTATAATGTTACAAATCCAAATTAGAAAGCAAAATGAAAAGGATAAGGATAAAAAAAAATTAAAAAATCCCCAAAGAAGTAAATGTATAAATATATATTTATACAAATGAGATTTCAGTTGTTCTCCCTTTTTTACTTGGACCTGTCATATTTAATGGAATGAAAAGGTAGACTCCTTTTCAGTGGGCCCTGCATCTCCAAAAAGCCAAAGGAAGGAGTGGGTTTTTTTATGCTCCTATATATATAAAATTGTGAGAGTAATGCAATGAACAAAGCTAACAATTCTGAGCAGGATTTAGCTTATCCTTTCAACCTGATTTATTCATTTTTCTTTTCTTTTCTTTTCTTTTTTTTTTTTTTACTTACAGGAAATTTCAGTCATATTTGTTGAATCCAGTGGACTATCCTACTTTTTGCTTTTTAAATTTTAGGCAGAAGCAAGCACAGGAAATATTGATAAGCTTATTCATCCTAGAGGAGAAATACCAAAAGAAAAAAACGGTGATCCTTCAAAAGTAGGAACTGCCATCTATAGGCAGATCCTGGACAGTCCACAATACCATTTCATTATTCTGCTATCAATGTATTCTAATTCATATATAAACCTACCGGATTTATCTAATTAGTACTGTCTTTGTATTTATTTGTGTAATTTCTAATCTTAACAAACATTATAATTAAATAAATGCAGAGTTGATTGGGCTTTATAACACTCTTTTTTGGTATCATCCTTTGCTAGTTTATAAGCTATATCAAAAAGCACACTGTGCATATGTTCTACATAAAACTCAGGCCAGCTATGTTTACAGGATTCATATGAGGTTATGCCCAACCAATTCAAATCATTAAGAGAAAATTAAGGAAGACTTAATTCTTTCTCTAGGTCAATTCTAAACTGATGACTTCTAAATTTAGTAGATCTCTTCCCACCACCCATTTTCTAATGCAGAGTAGTGTCCTCTGTTGTGACTTTACCCATGTTCTCACAATTCTTCTTACTTAATCTGATGCAGTTTCATCACACTGAGTTTCAGCTAACAGACATGCTGCCTGGAGCCCTACATATACTGTATCTATGAGAAACCACTTGCTTCCTGTCCATTTAATTTTCAAAAAGGTCAATGTATGTGTCTTCTTATTTAATTAAATATTTAAACACTGTTTTTTCTGTCTTACTGAGAAAATCGGGCTGGCTAGCGACCCCCTGAAAGTCAAGAAACCCATTAAAAATCTGAAGGAAAAAAAGCAAAACTTACATACAGACTCAATCACAAAACAAAATACACAAGCAGCAACAACATGCAATGTCAGCCATTAATAAAGAGTTCAAAACAGTTGATGTCTATAGTCATTTTGTCCACTGAAATGGTGAGACACATAGCAGGTCATCAGCCAATTATCTTCCTTTGGTTCCTTTCTAATACAGGTATGTGCAGCTAAAGCTTAGTGTATAACTTCCCCCTGCATGGTTGTAGATACAACAGGTTCATCATCCATTCTTCCTCAAACACACTGTTCAGTGAGCCAGTTGTTCTCAAAAAGAGGAGTCATTCAAATTATTGAGGTGAATTCTTGATTTATTTCCATTTGGAAATTCTCTCTTGGATATATTTCCACAAGCGATGAAGGAAAAGCATTTCCAATGGTGTCTACAGGCTACCTGATTCAAGAAGTAGACTTGTAAACTCTTATGACCTATATCAGGGGTGTCAAACTCAAGGTCTGGGGGCCAGATCCGGCCCATGGGGTACTTAGATCTGGGCCCACGGGGTCGCCCTGGAAACAGTGAAGGATACCTGTGGTGCTTCTGCCAGCAAAAACGGGCTCCTGAGCTCTGTTTTCGGCTGCTTCCTGCAACCCTCTGCAAGTGAAAACGGAGCTTGGGAGGGCCAGTTGCAGGAGGCTGTGGCAGCTGAAAACGGAGCTCAAGAGCCTGTTTTCACTGGCAGAGCACTCAGGCCACCATAGGTGCCACTGACATGAATGATGTTGAGCTGGCCACACCCACCCCTAGCCACGCCCACCTGGCCCCCTGAAGTCAAACACAACCCTGATGCGGCCCTCAATGAAATTGAATTTGACACCTATATACTGTAGCTTCAGCCTCCTTTCTAGGAACTTTAAAATTATTTATTTCATTTTTGGCCATTACTTCACTGGTTATGCTATATCTGCTCTGTTTAAGCACAAGCCTTAAAATCAGAGATATCCTTTGACTCTAGCTATGCCCCAGGTTCCACTGGTTTCTCCCTACCAGGATTCTTAATCTGAGTTTTATCACTGGGATTGAAGGAAGTTTCTATGTTTCTGTCCTCATAGGTCTGGGAGGTTATCCATCTAAGCAGAATATTGCATAAATCTTAGACCATCACCCTAAAACTTTCTACACTGAATCTGGACTGCTTAGATGTCCAAATGAAAGATACTGTATAAGCATAAGAACTACCAACATGTGAAGGAGTTTATTTGTTTTCAACTCTTCCAAAACAGGAAGTTTCTTCCTGTCTAGACTGGGCAATGCTTCAAGACAAGACCTCTAAATAATTTGAATCATATATACATATGCATGAATTTACATTCAGGTTAGTTTAAAAGGCATTAACTCACCATAATCAACTATAAGAAATAAGATAATTGTGCCTACTGAATCATGTTGCATACAAAATCAAAATTAATCCAGAATCTCTAAGATAAGAAAGGGTCTTGCTTAAAATACAGAAAATAAATGCCATGTTGCCACTGTACAGACATGAGGACAAAACATTTGAAAGAAAAATCATAATCATCTCCTACTGTGCACACTTTTTTCATTCATCTGACCTAATATCATGCAGCTTTTTAAAGCTCAGTTCTGTCTGCCACTGATAAATCAACAATCTCCTTAGCAGCAATTTAGTAGAGCTCAGAAATTGTAAAAATAATAAGAGTAATAAAGAAAATAATAGGGGCCTGATAAGAACAAATTAGACTCTCTCAGATAAAACTCGTTCAAAAAGGAAGAGTTACCTACATTTTGCCTCCTTGGCTTAACAATAATCATTGTCAGGGTTAGCATCAGTCTGAAGGCATCTGTCCTCTCTCAAGCCATCCCCTAACCTTTCTGAGGTAAAGAACAAGATTAGGTGAAACCTGGCTCAAAAAGAGTAACAGTGAGAAGGATCTTGGAGTCCTAGTGAACGATCACTTAAACATGAGCCAGCAGTGTGTGGCAGCAGCCAAAAAAGCTAATACAATCCTTGGTTGCATAAACAGAGGCATAGAATCAAAATCATTAGTACCATTTTATAAAGCGTTAGTAAGACCACATCTGGAATACGGCATCTAGCTTTGGTCACCACATTACAAAGTTGAGACTTTGGAAAAAGGACAAAGAAATGCAACTAAGATGATTAAAGACCTGGAGACAGTATGAAGAACAGTTACAGGAATTGAGTATGGCCAGTCTAGAGAAAAATGGGATGCGGTGGCTCAGTGGCTAAGACACTGAGCTTATCGATCAAAAAAGTCAGCAGTTTGGCAGTTCGAATCCCTAGCGCCGCATAATGGGGTGAGCTCCCATTACTTATCCCAGCTTCTGCCAATCTAGCAGTTCGAAAGCACGTAAAAAATGCAAGTAGAAAAATAGGGACCACCTTTGGTGGGAAGGTAACAGCGTTCCGTGCACCTTTGCCATTTAGTCATGCTGGCCACATGACCATGGAGACGTCTTCGGACAGCACTGGCACTGCGGCTTTGAAACGGAGATGATCACTGCCCCCTAGAGTCGGGAACGACTAGCACATATGTGCGAGGGGAACCTTTACCTTTACTTTTACTTAGTCTAGAGAAAAGAAGGATTGCGGGTGCCATGATAGCAGTATTCCAATATTTGATGGACTGCCAGAATGAAGAGGGGGGTCAACTTATTTTCCAAAGCACCAGATGGCAAGACAAGAAACAATGGATGGAATCTAATCAAGGACAGAAGCAACCTGGAATTAAGGAGAAACTTCCTAGCAGTGAGGACAATTAACAGCTGTGGAACAGCTTGCCTTCAGAAGCTGTAGGTGCTTCATCACAGGAGGCTTTTAAGAAAAGACTGGACAGCCACACCTGTCTGAAATGATATAGGGTCTC